GGCATTTGCTCAACCTGTCTTTGCCTCCTGCAGAGATCCTGTGCACCGCTTCAGCAACAGCAACTGCTGATGCCACCCAGTCACCTGCACTTTAACTTGACAGAAATAAGAAAGAGCATCACACATTTTACATGAAGTTTAGTATTATTTGACTGCATTTTAATTTTTTGGCCTGTTCAATGCACTCAGTTCTTGGTTTTCAAAGCTCCCCACTACAAACACAAAAGGAAACGGTCTACCCCACGTACAGACAACTGCTGATAGAGGGTTTTTTCCCCCATTCTTAAAAGGAACTTTGCCAAAAGATGGGCTGGGATCATAAACCATACCCTATTCTTTGTTTAATTACTTAGCTTCTGCTCTTGACTTGGCAAAACATTAAGCCTTTCATTTTAGTAAATCTATAATTAACTCCACCATGTGCTGAGTAAACATAACCTCATTTTTAATTAAACCTTAGAACAAGATGCTATAACTTGCCAGTTCTAAGGAGAAGTATCTTTCAAGTAATATGCAATAAAAAAACTAATCCTTGTCAAACACAAAACTTAAGTCTGACTTCGAGTATAACCCAAAAAGTCTTATGTAGTCAAAACATGCATTCACTAACGACAAGACCAAAATTTAAACGTGAAGAGCCATCACTTCAAATCAAGTTTCCAAGGCTAAAGTCAAACCAAACCTTAATGTCAACACAACAAAACAGAGAGATAACTTTGGCTGTGGGACTCTGAGGAATAATTCTTACAGTACATCTCACTGGATTGATATTTTTTGCAAATGATGCAGTAATCTTACACGACGAGAAAATAATTTCTTAAGAAGCAAAGGAGCTGGACTATCAGATGCATTATAAACACCAGAAACAAAGGGGAACTTTCTAATTACTCATTCATAAGTGAGAAGACTCAACATTTACTTCTGACAACTGAACTCACTCATATAGGATTAACTACAATTCTACATTATATTGAGGCAAATCTGCTGAATAAAATCTCAAAACAAAATTTAGCTACTATGAAAACGTAATGTCAACTTTAAGTCAAGCTTATACATGAACTCATGTATGAAATAATAACCACCTTCTCTTTATGCTGCAACTCTGAGATTTTTTTTCAAGAAAGATCCCTGGCATTACGCATCTCCAAATGGCCCTCAAGAAATCAATTATTTAAGTGCTACAGTTAATAGTAGGAAACTCCACAAAACCTGACTTCATGTTCAAGAACTACATATAGCAGAGCCAAATAAAAGAACCAAGAAATTAGTTCAAGACAGAAGTTACGAGATTTACAGTTTGGAGAACAAAAAAACCCACTGTGCATTCCAATGAAAAACAGTGCTCAAGAGAACTTTGTAATATTCAATCTCATTCTCTCACTTATCTGCAACCCTTTTAATCAGCTCTCCTCTCAAAGACAGAGTTTCTCAGTTAGTCATTCTGATTACCACAGAATCTAGACACTGATGACTGCATTAGGCAGAAGCCGATCCACGTTATTAACCTTCTGCGGAGTATCCTCAAAACACGACTTCAAGAGAATTTCGCAAAGCATTTTCTTGCAGCCATTTTACATTATATTTGAATTTCAACATACTTATTCTGGACAATTTTTTTCCCTTCTCATCAAGTTTAGCTTAGTCATCTTTCAGCAATCCTCACAACAACTTCATGTTGCCTGACGGAAGTCCCTTTGTTTCAGTGGTAATGCACAATTAAACAAAGTGCCTTGAGGCCAAAGTACATGATTTTATCCACGGGTGACGCTGATTTGGTAGTGTTTGCTAAACACTACAAGAGTGCCACAGCACAGAAAGTGCTTTCTAATCTCCAAGGAACACAATTTCTATGCTTCACCTAATGCCCTTTTCCCCCTCATCAGTCCTGTATTGCCCGATTTCTTTGGGAAGAAAAGCTTATGTATTGATGCTGTCACCATGTATTTTCATTATTCTCCTGCACCTCCCCCATTAAAGTAACTTCTAAAAGTAGCTGGAAAATCATGATCAAACCTGAGAAACTGAGAGGTCTTCATTATGAAATTCTCACAAGTTTTATGAAGACAGGTACTTAGAGACTAAAATCTTGCCCATCACATTGAAAATAAACCACAGCACAAGCACAACCTCTGTTAGAGCCTGAAGACTGTCTATAATCAGTCTGAAGATCTCCATAGGGCCTCATTATGCACACTATTTCAATTGTTTTAAAATTAGAGTCATGCTAGATTTCCATAAGGCAAACCTTAAATAGTACAACGGAACTTAAAGGAGCACAATTGTGGAACAAAACCATTAAAAATGAATAACGAATCCACACAACGCTATTAACTGCATTGTTTCAGTTCTTAATCACAATTGAGATACGACAGAATCACTCTTAAAATATCAAATTCAATAGAAAAGTGTGGGTATTCAGACACTTAATGGCAAAATTTGCCAACCGTTCTGCAGCTGTAATGAAGACATTGTTTTAACAATTGATGAAGGCTATTACTAAGAGTATAACTATCTACTCCTAGATATCCATGCAGCTCCAACAAAAACTGAGGGTACTTGTAACACCGGACACTGGGAAGGGAGAAACAAGAGGAATCACAAGGCCACAACTCTAAAGTAAGCTTTTTATGTGATGACATCATTATGCTGCAAATTAGCCTATCTGGTTACAAAAGGTGAATGGCAATCAGCCTTTTTGGCTTTTCTGCTGTGATAAACAGTTCACTGCCATTTGTGTGGTATGTGCGGGACTAAATCTGTAAGAAAATGAGTTTTGAAAAGTTTATTCCATAAATGACCATCACCTAATACCTGAAAGCTATTTTTTTTTAATGCAGATCTTTAAAATCTGCACAAGCTCCACTGGTAGAAACTAAATTATATCTTAAATGGTTACTTATTATAAATTAAAAGCAATTACGAGCTGTCTTTCCCTAACAGTGCTGTAAAGAAAGCAGTTAACACAGTAAAATCGTGTACTGCAGTAAAATCACACCCCATCCTAGCTCATTTTATTAACTTTGCTAGCTTTCCTGACAGAAAGCTATTTAACACTATTATGAAGATTCAAGCTACCAACGTAATTAAGGGTAATAGAATTTTTCAGAACTTCCTAATTTGCTCTATTTTTTCAACTGTAGAACATAAGTTATTTTCGCAGATGAAAAGTTTTAGTTTTCAAACTCAAAAATTTTGTTATAAAGTCATCTTTGAATTCTTTGCAATTCTACAATGAAAAACTACGAAAATATGCTTGGAAGCCCTCTTCAGAAAGCGGTGTGTTTAGGAAACACTCAATGCAGTAGATTAACTCTCCAGTGGGCAAACTCTCCAGTGTAAGTGAAAGACTAATCTTTCTGACTGGCAACACTCAAGCTGTATGACATCCCATCATGTTGATAGTGACAGCATCTGCACAGACAGGATTAGTAACGACAGTAATGGCATATGTATGAACTGATGGTACACTACCAGCAAACCAGAAAGACCACACACCACTGAATTCTCCTATTCAATAGTAGGCAACAGTAGTATTATTTCTAAGCATGCAAAATTCTTGTGCACGCAAAGCTAAAAGAGCGCAGGGACACTGCTCAGTACTGAATTCTGTAAACTTGAGGAGAAATTAAATGCAGTGTGCCTATGCAGCTGATACCAGCTCCTAATCAAATGTGGTAGACACGAAATCAGCTCCTCAGTAATGTAAATTATCCTTTTGAAAGTCTTTTTAGGAACCTTTTAAAGTTAATGTGTGAAGTTTTGCAGAAAATGTGTCACTTTTTCTTTGAACAAGTCTTTCTTTCATGGTACAGCACCATAAGGTAAATTATCTTTGAGGAACATAAAGCACACTCAAGTCACTCCTTCCTTTTGAATGTAGGACATCTGAAAATTGATGGAAATTTTATTGGCCTTGGGTCATAATGTTTAACAGGTTTATCTAATTTCATTCCAGAGCATTTACATAGTCATATGAATTTCCTTCTTTCTAATCATAATCATCCTTTGACTTGTTCTTACTAAGCTTATTATGCCTAGCAAAGTACAAGGAAAGGACAGATAGACTTCTGCACCCAAAACTTCAAGGAGCATCTGCAATATATTTCTTGAGAACAAGCAATGTGAATTTCCAAACACATGAAGGCTACACTGAGAAGTTAGTTAAAATTAGAGGCAATAGCTAACCCTGTTAAAGTTAGACTACTTGTTTGAAATGGTGGCCTTAGATTTTGTCATCTTCGCAGAAAATGCAAATATGACAGAAAAAAATACTAAAAAATCAAATTAAAAATATCTAAAAATAATCATCATCATCATCATCTCATCTGCAAAGATGTAAGGGCCATGGAAGAACAATAATCAGTTATGTCTGCTTATCAGAGTATTTAGAAGGCCAAAAAATAAAATAATTCAAAATCTGCCTATGGCCAACTTTTACTGACTTTGTGTCACATTTACTTGAAATAAATTGTGCTTTTTAGTTCTAAACTAGCAAGACAAACATTTGTTATTTACTGTCATAGTGAGGTAGAACGGCCATAGGCAAACCTACCAGACATGTGTCTTTATAGAAAATACAAGAATAGGGCTGTTGGGCAAAAAAGAAAGAAAGGACAGACTGGAACCCGTTATATTCTGGAAAACTGGAAGAAACATCGTTTTCCCATAATGACAGTTGTCATTGCCATTTTGTGCGTTCTCATGGAAGTTCAATATTTTCCTGATACAATAGCAAAGACTGTTAAATAGACACATCTTTTCCCACTTCAGAAGCATTTTTCAGGCCTTTTCTTGACCTCAAGTACATATTGCAAGGCTTTTTTTCTAACTACAGAGTATATTTAGTACCATACATACAATGGCAATCCCTGCCTAGTCTTTAAATGCAAGTTGTACAATGCTTCAGCTGTAAGATATGAATAAACCAGAGCAGATCAGTGTGCAAATTAAGTTCAAACAGATTTTGTCATTGCTGTAATCCCTCACACACTGGTGCTTACCTGCAGGTAAGTATTTCAGCTGGTTGTTGGCCAAGCGAAGGTGACGTAGAGATCTCAGGCGGCCAATCTCTGGACACACAATTTCGAGGGCATTATCACTTAGGTCTAGAAACTGCAGTTTAACGAGGGAGCCAATGGCTTGTGAGAGAACAGATTAAAACACCGATGTGACCCAACAGTAATATTAAAATCTTAATAGGGCTATGAGAGGATAAAAAGCCACAGTAGCTAACACCTACGTCTAAGCACATTTGGTCATATTAAAGCAGGTCTCACAACTGAATAACAATTTGTGAAAATGCTTATCTACCCAACAAACAGTGCAGCTGTCAGTGAGACAGCAAGGAGAAGTGATGTACAGAATAATGCCATTTCTAGATTCTCCTTGGATGATTCTGCTCCGAAATCACTTTTTCCATTCCTTTGAGTTTATCCAATTTATATATGCAGGAAGAGTTTAAAGTACTTGCCTGAAGTTAGGCACATAACTCTACAATTAAGACAAGGAAGAGAAACTAGTATAAATTCTTAATCCTTTAGGTTTCAAATCTGTCATGATCTAAACCAGCAGCGTATTCTGCATAGCAAGCAGAAGACACTTTGGATTTTTTTTTTCTGTAGATAAGTGCCATTTAGCCTTTTCACTTTCCGCAATTAGAACTGAAGCAAACAGCATTTAGGTGCATTTAGGAATTCATTAAAAGAATTTAACATAGCATAAACAAGGTTATTATCAACTAAGAGCTACACTGGTAAGTTTGTATGAAAATATTTAATGTTTTATGGGAAAATAAAGGAAAAACAGGCCTCTTCAAAGAGGAAAAATGAATATTTTATTATTCCTGCCAGTTATTGTAAGCTGGTAGATTACTTACCTTCAGGTACAACAACTATGTTATTTGAATGAAGGTACCTGGGGGAAGGAGAAAAAAAAAAGCAGAGGACACCACCTGTTACCCTCAAGGACTTCTGCTACATAATCAGTTTGCAAAATATCCGATTTCAGACACAAAGAGCACCCTCAAAGCCATTCCTCTATGACCACAAAAGCTGTGGAAACTGTATAAACTGGCAATGGATAGGTACTTAAGTTTCACTTAAATGACAAACAAAAAATTCACTATTAAATGATTAACATAAAAATAGAAGAGAATGACATACAATCCTTTACAACAAAACTTTCACAGTTACAATAATAGCAGGCTTTAGTGTTGAGTCTTAAGAGGAAAACAAAAAGGAAAAACAAAAACATAAATAGAATAACCAAAATGAGCCATATTTAATCACCAGGTTATTCCACACTAAATACTGGGCAAGAAAAGTAAATAGCTCAAATCATAAATGCAAGTTATATGATTATAAACATTTTCCCCTACACTCTTAGACCATTACTGACTAATGAAACAAGTACACCATCTACTTACTGCAAGTGGGGTTTTCAAACTTAAGAGTACTTTTTTCAAAGAAAAACCCAATGTTTCAAAGAAAAACCCATGGTTTTAGGCTATTGCGTGGCCCAATCTCTCACTAAGAATACCCAGCACCCTCTGCTGGAGCACTTCTAGTATTACGAGTAACATAAAAAACCCACAAGATTTTACATACTAGTTCTCAATCAATATTGCTGCAAATGAAATAACAGGTCTTGTAGAAAAATAACAGTAACAAGTTTTCAAATCTTGATATCCAATTGTAAAGACACACAGGAAGTCAATGTCCAAGTGCTTAGCCACACATGGAAATTATCTGTACAGTGTTACTATTCCGGCTCTATTCAGGCAGTATTTCCTACAGCAGAAGCCTGTCTCTTTGAGGAGATGCAGGCAGAACAAGAAAGACATGAACATTTCAACTGCATGGAGCATCTAAGCCTTCTGGTTTTCTTTAAAAACATTTAAAGTTTACTAAAAATGTAACAAACATATGGATAGCAGATATGTCTATAGGAATATGTATATCAAACCTCAGGATGAGAATTCTCCTACTCATTTCAGCTGCAACTCCTGAAAACACTAGCGAACTATTTCACTCAGGCTAAATGAGCTCAGTGTATGTTATGAGGATCTACACCTAATATCCCAGCATGCTGGGATACAACATATAAAGAAACAGACAATAGTGAAGTTTTAAAAATATGTAAGTGAAATTGCTTAAGGATACAACTTGCAAGAAAATCAGTTCAATTTGTCTTTCAAAATTTAAAGCTACTGCAACAAATTATTCTTTAAGTAAATCTTTATTTTGTGGTCTTTCTCTGCCAACAAAACATTTCTCACTGTCTGATCAAACATTGACTTGTACTGCTAGAGCTACACAAACCACAAGCCCACTGCAGCTCTCTCTAGACCATCAGAATGTGTGGGGTAATGATGGCACAACTAAACCTGCTGAACCCTAAATAATGAGGTTTGACTCCTACAATTCGGTGTTTGTAAGAGATGACTAAGCTGTAATTTATACAGGTTTTCCTAAAAGCACCATCAGATAACACGGAGATTTCCTGATGCCCCATGGCAAATCATTAAATACTAAGTATATCAAATACAAAAATATTTATTTTACTGCTTCAGAGCATAAATATATTCTCAGGCATGATGAGACAAGACTGTCTCTCAAGCAAGTCAGAGACTGCAGTGACCTACAAAATAGTTCAATTATACTGTGGTCATGTGTACCAGAAAGGTGTGGTTTCAAGGGCCAAATTAAGATGACAAGATCAGACATCTGAATGCATTAGACTGCTCATATACACACCTCCTGCTGCTTGGAGCTTTCCATTAAATAAACAGAATCAATGGTCCATCACTTACTCAACTGAAAGTGAGCCAAAGGAGTTAAAAGGGAAAAAGGGGATGGCCCTTTTAACATCCCTACACCAATCCTACCATAGAAAGAAATAATAACCTTACAAGAAGAAAAGGGAAGGGAAGGAAATGTTGACTGAGGGGCTTACAGCTTAAAATTAATAGCCGTGATAATAGAGTTCATGTGACATCCATTCTTTGGACAAGACTGGATAAACTGCTCTACTTATAGCAACCACCATGAAATAGTTACTACCCTACCTGATCATTCCTGCTCCTGTTAGACAATCTGTGCCTTGCTTCCAAAAGAACTAATTACTACAATCAGCAAGACTAAGATCATAATACCCCTAGGTAGCTGGGGTGGAAATGAGCAACTAGGGATGGGCTGGAGGCAGTAACCTGTTATTCTAGGTCTGTTACAACCACCTAACCATTGCATTTTGAGGTTCCAGTGCTTTATCAGGGTGACAGCACTGTACACAGGAGTTGGGTGTCAAGTATTTTTAACTTCAGCAGTGTAGATATTTGTATAAAAGCTCTTGTTACACAATAAAAAAGAAATTGTAAAAAATACTAACATGGGACTCAACACATCTGGATACACCTCCTTTAAACCACCAAGAAATTACCCATTCTTGCCCTCCAAGAAACCCTTCACACTTAAAGAGGTAGCTTAGGTACAAGCAATACATTCTAGAATTATTTTTAAGATAAGATGGATCAGAATAATAAAAATATATTAAAACTCCTACGCAAACTCACAATTCCACGAGGTTTGGAAGCTTCTGTGCAAGGTTTTCTGGCTGAAAAAGAGTTAGACATTTTTAGGTTTCAAAACAAAACACAGACACACGCACGCATTGTGTACCAAACTCATTTTAATAACCATACTAAAGCACATCAGCAGCAGAAAAAATGGCAACAAGGAGCTTGCATACAATACCCTATTTCCACACCACTGCATGTTCACCATCAGTGCAATGTGGGTTATAGCAAGGGTAAGCAAACAGAACTACAGCCTCAAAGTGACATCAACATGTTGTCAACCAAAAAACAGTCGGACTTCTGAGGCTGAAAAGATGGATTACCAGAACTTCACTTTTGAAGTATATCAAGTGAGTTGAAGCCAAGAGACCACTAAGAAGCTGCAGCCTTTACAGACCTGAAGCAGAACAAGAACTATCCAAGTTGTCTACCCATAATGTATTTTATTTTGTAATGCTTCTACACTGGGAAGTGACCTACCAACTTTGTGTCGCTTAATCAACTACCACCAAGGCAGAAGTGCTGAATCCAAACTAGATTGCCTTATTTGCACATTCACATGCATATCATTTTCTAACTGCTAACTGATCCTTAGCTGCAGTTTTTTCTTGATGGCATTTATAACCATGAACATACATCACAAGATCAGCTTCACAAATTTTACATGTCATGCGGTAACCATATCAAAATTATTCAAGGTTAAGAGTTCTACTGCATAAGAAATCTATTTTAAACAATGATATGTTTTACTGGAAGCTTTTACAATACACATGTTGAGAAACAAATTAATTTTAACAGCAGCTCAATCACATGGTTAATTTTGTTTAAAAAAAACTAGCAATTTTCCCTGTCATTTAAATTTAAGGTATATTGTTATCTAAAGTACTTTGTGCTTATAAATTTATTATTAAGTAATAGGCTATGCTGAAGAAGTGATATCATAATATTTTCATGTAGCAAACATGCCACATCCTAGGCCCGAGTACAAAAAGGAATTTAACTATGGAGCAGCAGATAAGGGCTCTGTTGACGTCAAGACCCAAGGAACAGGCTGTATCTGATCAGTTGTTGCCACCTACTGGAAGGTTTCCTACAGTACATTGATCTCTGTACAGAATCTTACTCGGTCAAAGAGAAAAGCTTAAGCTAAGAAAATATGCAACGACTGCAACACAGTCAAGCACAAAAAGTTCAAGCTTTAATTTAATAAGAGGGAACGTTAAAAAACAGTCATTCTGTTAGTATAGGGATACTAAACCGAATCACAAACTATTTTCACATTATACTCCTGCTTTAAGAGAGCTAACCTTAGAAGAGAGACAACTTGACAGTTCAGCAAGTCTATAACAGAACTTCTGCTTATCTTCTTAAATACCACAATAACAGCGGGTCTGAGTCAAAGTTGCTCAATGCAACGTTCTACAACAAAGCTATTCACAATCCACAAACTGAGAGGTAAAACTAACTCTGGTCTCTACTGCTGACATGACAACAAACAATGAGAAATGAATCACCAATTCTGCCACCAGTTTGTCTCGCCCTCACACCCACTGGATACTTCTCAGAAAGTGAAACTGCTGATGTGTCTGATCAGGAAACCATCACATATTCTGAGTCAGTAAATTAAGAATAATTGTTCTTTGATATCACTAGATCATGCTTTTGACAGTGCCATCGAGGCAAGCACGTATTTCCTTTTAATAGATGGGGAAATAGGATTACTGTAAGGCTAATGGTATAAAACATTAAATGAGAAGTTGAAAGACCTGATGCTGGGACATGGGTGTGCTCTATAGCTTCTTGATACACTCACATTATGTCAGGGCCCTCTATCATTTCCATCTTGCCAATGAAGATACAAAGAAATTTTTCTAGGCAAGTTACCTGTAAATTCTGTCAGTGTAACTATTCCAGATGTTTTCATAAAAGCCATCTGTTAAGGACTAAAGTCATTTTAGAAGAGCAAAGAAAACAGCTGATTCAGCCAACATTTTTCAGAACTCTGAAGGAATTAACCGGTTGGACAAAAGTACCATCTGACTTTAAAAAAATATGATGCAGATTTAGTTTTGATGACTGCTAATAATTCATATTCAATTTAAAGTATTTCTTGATGACCTAATACTCATCATACTGCATAGAAGCAAAGAAGCAAAAGGCTGAACCATCTCCTTTCAATAACTTACTTGTTTTCAAGATGATACCCTCCCACAATGTAACTATCTTACTACTTCTTTACTGAAACCGAGAGTATTATTTGTCCTACCAGCAGTGGACATGAAAAAAATCATTATGAATAGATTCCTTTGTAAAAATACTGATGATTTCTGCTCTCCCCTATTACTCCTCTTCCATCCTTTTTCCCCTTTCTCTTCTATTTCTGCAAGAGAAATTAGCCTAAATCTCAACCTTCTCTTATAGGGCATGTCCTCTAAAAATCCCTTGTTGCTGTTTTCTAGGTTCTTTCCAATTTACCTAGGTTATTCGTAAGTATGAAACTCCAGGCTCAATCTTTGTCCCAGCTTATGCTTTAATGGTGTCCAATAATTATTTCCTTCTGCTTTTAATGGAGAATGAGAAATTTTCTAATTTCCAAAAAACATTGCCTTTTTTTGTACCATACTGCTGACTTGATAGATTTTGGTCCACTACAACTTCCAACATCTATTCTGCTGAACAGAAGCTCCATGAATGAGACCAAATTTTGTTTGCCTAGTTCCTAACTACAGTGCTATGCACTTGAAGGAGATTCCATCAAGTAATATTATGAGCAAGTTATTCCATCATTTTGAATCCTAATGCTCTACTTCATGCTGTTTGCAAGTCACTTTATGTAGGATCTACATAAAGTTTTGTTTCATTTCCATAACTATAATACCAAACAGCATTGGGTGAGAGCTGCCTTCCTCATTTGATACATCTTCTGTTGACAGTAACCATTAATTACTCTTATGGCATCTTACATCTCTGATGGCTGACAATATTAACAGATATTGAGAGGAAATTGAGTTAAACTGTTAACTTGCAAGACTTAGTTTTGGTTTCTAATTTATAATTACTTGGAGAAAAATGAAAGCAGGCTCTAACACATGCATGCAGAAAAGTTACATGCAAAACTCTCCTTATGATTCTTTCATCCTCTGGGCAGTGCAAACTTCATGAACCTTACCACAAAAATAATCACTGAATTTTACAAAGCATCAAAGCAGAACTGTTCACAGTCTTTGGTCAATTTTTAAAGCAGCCTTAATGCATAACCACGAATCCTATCCTCCCATTAAATTATTAACCAAAGGACTTGCGCAAAATCAAAAGTGCAGTACATGCACACTTAAGTCACTTATTCAAGGGGAAGAAAAACCATAAAATTTTCAGAGCCTTTTCAGCTTTTGACCCGTAAAGTAAAACCCTTATTGAGGATTTCCAATGCATTGCAGGGAAAACTTTAAACACCACTCCTTAAACTTGAGTACTGAACTTTTTCTAGGGAGCACTGAAAAACATAATTTTGGTGAATTTTAAGTATTCAGGACCGCCAGCTCCTCTGCCCTGGCTATTATTTTATCTATCATACCAGCCCAAGGTAATAAAAAGCAAAAAAACTTAATTATTTGGACACTTGAGCCTATCAACAGCGCCAAGTTTTGACCCTCTGTAGAGAATCTTACCAGCTCAGAATGTCTCATACAGTTATTTAACTACCCCACACTGAATTCTGAGATTACAGCATTCATTCAGGGTAAGACTTTCTTCAGTTCAAGGAAAAAAACAAAACAAGAAGACATCACAGAAAATCCCACAACCCTGAAATTAAATGTTTTCTTTTGTATTTTTCTCTTATCAACAGCAGCCCCTAGCATGACCACTAATGTGAGCAAAAATTTATAGCAGTTAAAAAATAAACCCCAAAACAATAAACTTCACCAGAAAACCCTCAGCAGATCTTCAAAGAGCTTCAACTGAGTAACCATAAAATGTTGTAAGCTTTCATTTATTCTCTACATTACCTATGCAACTTTAAATGTAATATAACCAAATACTTATATTTCACAATTGATGACATTCAGGATCAGAATTGCTGTTAGATTATTATGATTTGTAAATTATCTTGTTTTTTGTGTTTCAAAACTCAGAATTCCTAAACATACACACAGTAAACGTTACAATAAAGAGGTGGTCGTACCAGTGTGGTCAGGGAATTTCGTTTCATATAAAGTCTCTCCAAGTACTGCAGCCCCTCATCTTTCAGTAACTCCAAAGGGAAGTGATGGAGATTTCGATAATTTAAGAACAAGTTCTTGTGCCTTTCCAACTTTGCCTCAGAGATTGTTTTACATAGTTCTGATGCCATGACTAAGCAGCACATCTAGTGCATCGCATCTTCTGAAAGCAAACCCATTTCTAGGAGACAAAAAGAGAAAAAAAAAAACAAACAAAACATTATCCAGGTGTATGTCATGAGTTCTTCTGTGGCGAGAGTTAGTCATTACATATTATCTGATAATTTACCTAAACACACTTATTCCAATTAATACATAAATAAAATACCCAGAACATCCACATCACAAGATACGCTAGAAACAAGTCTCTGACTATTTTCTGGATGAGATGAAGTTTTAACATGTTATCAGACTAGCAATAACAAGAGTTTAAGGTATATATAATGCTTTCTTCCATCCATTTTCACTAGACCTTTCAGATTTTATATTATCTGAAATTCAGATAATAAGTCGCCGCTAGAGTATAAGGAAACCTCTCTCTATTAACCATTACTGATGTCCTGCACCTATTTATTCTGTGAAGCATCCTGAAAGAAGAATCCATAGATAAGAAAAATACACCATTTACAAGAGAAGGATTTATCAAGTGGCTAAAATGGCTTTAAGTAGCTTGTAAGGAGAATGACAAAAGTTTGTTAACCTTTCCTATATAAAACTACTGGAAGAATTTAATCAATTGGAAGAGATACTGGGGAGGGCAGCCAGTAAGGCCATTTTAAATCAATAAACTAATATATGAGAAATGCAAAATTTCCAGGAAGAAAATTTATAGGTAGATGTGACAGCAGATTTTCAGGTCTCTACTAAAAACAAAACCAGAAAGAACTAAACGTCAAGCTTTAGCTGACAATTTCAAATACAGAAAATAAAAGTAATGAACACAAATTAAAAATTAACTTAAACTCTACTTTATTTAGCTTGTTTTCTATGTTTAACCAAAATTCTAGTCATTATTATGTTGTCTAGATTTAGATAACAATAGTGATGCTACATCTTTTCAGCTATCTCAGAAGTCAGGAGAACATAACAAAGCCAGACTACTTATTAATTCAGAGTTACCAGTCTGCTATTGACTCGCGTGTATAAATCAATTTCCATTAATAAAAGGCAAGGAATTCTGACTTCTTCCCACCAATAACACTTTCTGGTTTAGTTCACTTTTTTTAGTGAAGGAGAGATTTCTCATCGTAAGAGACATTGGAAGTGAAGGTACTGAGTTACAATTATATAGCGGTAGTTGTAAACAAAACACCTTAAACTGTCAGCTGAAAACTGATAACTAGACCATGCATGTAAATAAAACTGCTTTACCAGTTTCAGTAATTCCCTTGATTTGTGGATAAGCAGCTTCTGCCAGTGACCTATGTCCTTTTGGAAGAATACAGAATTTATTTTCTTAAAGAGTCCCATAAGCACTATTATTACTACTCACAACTTAGATGTAATATCCTGCACACCTTACTTAAGCTTATCTACAATCCAAGCCATGCTAAGATCAGTTCTGCAAACAAATGATCACCCTGTTGCGAGTTCTATATAAAAGACTAGAAAGGATCAGTCTAACTTTGGTTAAGCAGTATTTGAGTGAGAAGACCATGCTGTAATAAGTTGCCGTACACACACTGCTGGCCCTTGGCACCAGCAACATCAAAGCTCCCTTAATTCAGCAGATAGAGGAAATTAAGCCGCTACAATTTCAAACTATGCATCTGTAATCAGCATTCAAAGAATTCAAGGAAAAGCATTTGAATGTTTCATGCGCATAGTCTGAGAGTATTCATGCATTAACTGCTGCAATATAAGAAATGGTAACGGAAAGCTCATCTTCCTCTGATGCATGTTGTTTAAGGAACACTGAGAAGTCACAAAACACATCCATAAATATCTAACAGCCTTTCAACTTGTCCAGAGATGCTTTTTAGGTGTTTTGCATTTGCAGGCACCTAAAAAGAGTTCAGAGTTGTGACTCCATACGTCTATGGAGTCACCTGGGCCACACTCAGCCGTAGCACACATGAATACTCAGACACGCAAACTCACATACGCAAAACCCACTCGTAACCTACTCTATTTTGGCTCTTACTTCAAAGAAAAACCCTCCTCCCGCCACCAGCCAAACTTTTCCTCTCTAAATAATCTTTTCCCAGCGATGAGGCACAGCATTAGCAAGAAGGACGAGACATAATCGCGATCTTTAAACGTGAAAAGGGAAGATGAGGGCAGGTAATTGCCCTGCGAGGGGTCAGGTCGTTCAGGGGAGAATCCCGCCGCTCCACAGAGAATGAAGGCAGAAATAAGCCCGCACTGTGCACATGACAGGGCGCGATAGGGTGACACTGGGAGGGTACGGAGACCCCTCTACATCTGCGGGCCGCCCCCAGCCGAGGGGGGCTGCTGAGGAGAAAGGGAGCACACCGGCGGATGAGAACCCTGAGGGGCTATGAGGTGGGGCTGCGGGAGGCCGGGCCGTCCCGTCCTGGGTGTGTGGGGCCGCCACAGGCGGAGCCTGCGAGGAGGCGGCGGGAGATCCCCCCTCACAACTGAAGAGGGACCGGAGAGGAGCAGGGAGGAAACGGCCTCGGAACGGAGCGGGCGGCGAGGGCTCACACCCCTCTCGGAGAAGGCGCGGTCCGGCGGGCAGACAGCAGCGGGTAGAGCGGCGGAGGCCCCAACACCCGCCATGACCCTACCCCGCCGCTCACTCACCGGTGCCGCCTCAAGCTCAGCAGCGATCGCCTCCGCTCGGCGCCGCCGCCGGCCCAAGCACCCGGGGGCGGAGCCCGCCGCGGCCGCGCAAGACCGATGCGGCCGCCTCACAACTCTCGCGAGACACAGCCCAGCCGCGCACCGCCACTGCCTCGCGTGCCGCCACAACACCACCCCCTCAGCACCAACACCCGCCTCTCACCCAATCACAAGGCACTCCACCGCCCGCCACCCAATCAGAAGTTCCCTCCTCGTCTACGAGTCGCGAGCCCCCGCTCCATCAGCCAATGGGAGGGTGCTGTACCTCAGCGACTCGCCCGTCCGCCTGCGGTGAGGGGTGGGAGCTTCCATCACTTCAGTGGGTGTGCTGGTGGCACCGGGTAGCTCAGGTTGCGTCTACGGGGCTTTGCATAGCGACTAGCATTAGGAACAGACGGTTATAGCCCTGCTTAACAGGTTTTGAAGGGGAGTTTCATTTGTGCGTTAAAGTTGTGGTGGCCAGAGACCATCTTCCCAGCCAAATTTTGGTGCAGGTTAAAAGAGCTTTTATTCCTTTGCCAACAGGAGAATCTGAGGTAATCCTGCCTACACCTGCAGCCTCTCCATCGTGGACATGGGTGACATAGTTTAGTGTGAGGTGTCCCTGCCCATGGCAGGGGGGTTGGAACTAGATCTTAAGGTCCTTTCCAACCCTAACTATTCTATGGTTCTACAACATTTTTAGCCATGATGGCCTGTTGAAACAGGAATTGTGGAAGCTCAATTTGCTCATGTTCTGTGCACCTGATTTTGAGTTTATTCACACACACTGAGATGACCCAATACATAAATCCTATCCTGGTGAAGGTCTAGTAGTCTAATGACTGCAAATTCCCTCATACTCAGAATATTTACCATTATTGGCTATTAAAAAGCTCTTCTTTGAGGAAGATCAGCCCTATCAGCTGCCTAAAAAAGGAATCCCAGCTGCAGAAATCCTCTTTTTAGTTTCCACAGGCTAATGAACATAAACTTGGCTTAACAAGATTCGCAGCAGTTCTGCAGGGCAGCCAAGCAGCTGAATGCAGAATACCTCCATACCTTACAGAAAGTGCTTTTTCTCTCCTATATATTCACAGAACTTCCACTTGAAACAAAGCAACGTGTGGAAAAAGCTTAAGATCCAACACAAACTATTCTATGTGTCTTTTTCTTGCAGGCTCATTTCTCTCTTTTTCAGTTCTAAATAAGGATCAGCAGAACTTAACTTGCTCATTTGTCATTTTCCTGCATTTGAAAAGCAGTAATTGATTTGGACAAGTGTATTTGCTCAGTGTTACTTGCTACTCTTTGGGGAGTTGTTTTTCTCAGATACATAGATTGGATTTTGTTGAAATAATTTGAGATGAACTAATTTACCCTTCAAAATTCCGCATCCTCCATATGTATCATACCATGCCGCACACATTATTGCTTACTGTGGTTGATAGTACTTGTCTATTTTCTCATTTCAGCATTAAACTCCAGGAAGTGGCCTGCTTGTATACCACCACAGCTTTAAAAACAGCAAGTGCATCACACTTCTTAATGTCACTTTGGTCCCACGTTATAAATATCTGAGAAATTAAAACTTAAGCATATTTCAGATCAGAGTAGAAGCTGAATTTGAGCACAGTTAGCAACACATTCCTTGGAGGGAATTCAGTGACAGATCAGCCCAAATGTTCTTCTCCAGGATATTAAATCATTGATCAGGACAGAAACTGTGTTTCTGCTTTCTTCCACTGAATTAGTGACATGAAAGATGAAGTTTTTTCTTGGGAAACCTGCTCTTAACAGAGCCAGGATACTTAATGTGTTTCTTTACACATACTTTGTAATGTGATGGGGGGTTTTGAGACAGGAAGGAGATAAGATCACTGCACTCTGGTATTTTTGATAGCAAACTTCTGTTTGTTTCTGCTCACACCAACAAAGTGGCTAAAGAGACCAGAGCACTGCTAAAGTGTCTTTGATTCTGCTGTCACAGAAACAAATTCAGCTCTCAGGGTGTGCCTTCAATGATTATAAAACATACTGCACACATGGATTCAACGTTAACTGGAGGAGCAGTTTAGGATCACCAAAACTATTAAAGATGCTAATAAAGTACCATAGGAGTTGTCAGTATTTCGGTGGGGACTTCTAAAACTGAGGATCTGAAAGATTATTTTTTTAATCTTTTTTTGTTTTCCAAGTGAGAGGATTCCTAATAGCAGTATTTAAAATGCCTTCTCCCTGCTGATAATAATGTTTATGATTCCTTCCAGACTGCTCTTCAGAAGAATGAGATGAACTGTTCCTTGCCAAGGCAAACATCCTCACCCACCTCAACTGCGTTACATTTTTCTTGCTTGTTCCAGAGCTGTACCAGGTTCATATGAGCTGTATAGTGCCAGTTACCTTGTAGCTTTATGATAACCACAATAATTTCTAATATGATTTGAATGTTCACACATCACTTTATCTTGCTCTTTCCTCCTGAAGCAGTCATTCAGGATTCTTTTCATTGCCTTGCGTAGGCTGCATTCATCACACTCATTCATTCTCTGTTTTTTTTATCCTTGACCAATGCCATCACAATCTCCCAGACTTGTGTCATCAAATTCTGTTCAGTGCCTCTAAAAATTACTGCTCTCTCAGATCTGTAAGCTGATCTCTGAAGCTCTGATCCTGCACAGCACAGGTGTACAGTCCTCTCTGTGTAGTCACAAGGCTAAAAATGATGAGCAGAGCAAGGGGCATTGGAATCTGATCTTCCGTTAAGTGCTTGCTCATGGTTGCCAAGTCATTCCCATTTAGCAAGTGGGAATAGTGGGATACTCTTTGCTTAACTAGGTTTTTACTGTTTCCTTATCCCAGCTTAATTCTTAATTTGTGCTTGTGAGAACAAGGAACAGAGGGGCTTGAAATTTAAATCAAACTCGGAAGGATGACTGATCTGATGTGTGCACACATAAAGAAATTAATAAAACTTGTTTTGATGTGCAACTTTGAAGAAGTAGGTCTATTTGAGTAGTCTGCAGTTGCTGGTGTCTTGAACACTGACCTTCAATTGGTTTACTGGAACAAATGGGCAGAGGTCCACCAGTGATCCCTTCTTGGTGCCAAACTTATACAAGCCAGGTGAATGTAGTGTGAGTAAAAACATATAATGGTATCAGATTTATCACACAAGGCATATATTTGAGGCTAACAACTTTGGGAAGATACAGTCAGAAATACCTTACATATAGTAAAGCTTTATACAACCATTTTCTTTTGTTTTGCCGAGTGAAACATGAAGAAATTCTTTCTATTGAGGTTTTTGTGACAGAAGTCCCAGCTCTCAGTTTTGCAGAACTCAAGATACCCAAAATGTCTTAGTGAGCTTTTGAATTTGAGTTCTGAACATACTGAGGTTCAGAATCCCTAATAATCATGGGTGAGTCTTTCCCACCCAGTACTGTGGATACCATTTACCTTGCATCATGTGCATTAAATCAAACATTTTAAATTTGGATTATGCTAAAATTATTCACTGAGCAATTAAAGGTCAGTTTTCAGCAGCAGGAAACTTCAGTGTGACTGATGCATGACAGGAAAAGAGTGATTCTCCTTTAAGGTCAGACAACTAGCAGGTATTTTTAACCTTTGCTCTTTAGCATGTTAACCAGCAGTACAAGATGGGACTTCTTGGACATCACTGTGTTCTGAGAATTACTGAAGAAGAACCACTAAATACTAAGCTCATGCAGCTGCACCTGGTACAAAGAGGTCCTGTGGGTTAGAGGAATCATTTAAGCACAAGGAATCAATAGATCAATCAACAGGTGCAGTTTTGGCTTTCTTTAGGTCCTGCTTACAGAAGGGTTGGTGGTTACTAGAGGTTAATATACGACATGCACAAATGTGGAAAGCAGTAGTAACCCACTGGGCTGTCTGGTACATCTGCCAGGTCTTGCAGCTACTGAACTTCTTTCCCAGTCAGACAGAAGAATCTGTTTAATCCATGCTTGGGATGCTTGAAATGGTCTAGGAAAATGGCAGAGCTCTCCCTTACGTGGCAGGATTCCAGCATGGGGGATCTTTTCTTTCCATAGGAGGGTTTTCAGCATTACACATACATTCATTGATTTGTCTCTTGTATCAGGAAGAAATAAGCACCCTAAAATGTTCTGGTTTTACTAATGGAAAAAGAATCCATTCTCCAGAAAGTCCTGGCTCTTCTTAGGAGGTCCTTCCTAACTTCCAATTAGGAACTTTGGTGTAGTGATGAATTTGAGTGGAATAAAGTTATAATGACTCATCACAGTATTGCTAACTTCGATTCCGCAAACCTTTTCCTTGCAACTCCGGCTTCTGCAGCAGTACCAAAAACTGGAAGGCAGATGGAGCTCCTGCATGCTGATTGCCAACATGTCGGTATTTATAGACAGTCATCCACCTTTGACTAAAGTATTTTCATTTCCAGTTTCTTTGTCATTGATGTTAAGCTTTAACTGACTCATTTTTCAGTGACACAGTAATGCTGGTGAAAAAGCTCATTTTAAAGAAAATTCCTTGTACTGCCCTGTATGGTTTAAATCAGCATTGTTCAAAATAGAAGCTTTTAAAACAGTCTTGTCGCCTGATAGACTGTTGGGCTGAACTCATTTTTTGAGGGAAATTTCCCGGTAAACACATCGGTTATATTGTGGAATAGATTTCCTAAGAAGTAATGGAAAGTACTAGTAATTTGGACTGTTTGAATGGAATAACCCTAACAGAGGATAAGTGAGCACTGGATTTTGACCCTGACCATGCAGTTTGTGCTTATTCTAAATTCCCACTGATGTAATTAATCTCAGTGGAAAAAGAACAATGTCGCACTCACTGCCCCAGAAACCAAATTCCTCTGTTAATGTGCTCAGCACATATAACAATAGGCAGAAACAACATTTCTGCGTCTGCTCCATCAGGCAGTCTCAATATGGCATAACCACAAAGGACACAGCCAGCTCTCCATGGCTTATTCAATTGTTAGTTCTTCTTTAATGACTGCTGAAGGTGCATGAAGCTGACCCAGAGATATTTTGTGTTGCCTCTTGTTGACAAAATAATCAAGGCTTTAAAATTAATTCCAAATCCATTAATGAATAAAATTTTGTTTATCTTTTGGAATTCACTTCATGAAACTCCTTCAATTTGACTGATTTAATTCAAGTAAAACCACTTAAAATATTATCTCCAGTTTTGCTTCACTTTAAACCAGAAAATTAGTAAAACTTACATAGCAAACTTAGACAGTACATGGATGTTTATTAATTTCAGGATGCAAACGGCATGAAATGCTCTTTGGTCTATTTTTATACGACCTCAATAGCATTATTTTTTACTACCGCCCTCTGCTGTCATTGAGGCTATATGAGGGTTGTTTCTCCATCTTTCTGCCTGGCCCAAGATGTGGTTTCTTTTCATCTTCACTTCCCTTCAGTTCAACCCACCGGTTTTCTGAGTTTGTGATAATTGTCAAAAGTATTCCCAATGATTCACTGGATCTCAGCAGACCAAAAGCTGTTATTCATTCACCTGAAAACAGTGGGTTTAAGCTTATTATGAAGCTGTTCCTACTTCCAAATACCAAACTTCTAATTCTTTAATGTGACTATTGATGTCTAATGTCAGTTTCTTTCTCCTCTCTTAGCCTTTTATTTTTCTGAGGGAAAGTCCCACAGTCTTCTATGAGTCAGAACAACATTGTATGTTGTAGAGAGGCCCCATATGGTCAGTAAAGCTCCTTTGTTCCTATAAATTTACTTTAAAACTTTAATAAAATATTAAATCCTTTTACTCTGGTCCACACAGTTCCATAATTTTAGTACTTGTAAGCTTGAAATGGAAGTGTGTCGCATTTGTTTTTTCATTACAATACACATACTTGAAATAACATATTTTCATCTATTTATGAGATGTTTATGTTTCTTATGGAAAAGTTCCAGGTGAGGTTCCAAATATCTTCATTGTCTAAGAGTGACCATTTTTGTTATTTCATTCTGCCATTCATATCAAAGGGTGTTAACTCTGTGGCCTGTTACATTATGATAGAAACGAGGCAGGTGGTGAGCTATTTTTCATTCCAAGTGAATATAAATAGTGAAGAGGGGAAGTGTCATGTATACACAGCTCTTTGATTTATGCAAGCATATTGTGGAACCTGTTATAGTTAAGGCAGAATCTTCTGTTCTTGAGACCAGAGGGAAATTCACTTTTAGAGAGCTTGAAAGGTTTCTCTTTTTCACGGAAACCATCCATCTGGTCACAGCTGGGGTCTGACCTTTCTTTCTATTGAACACACCAGGAATAGCTTAAATATATGCCTGGATGTTGCACGTATTGGGGACAATCTCTTGGTTTTGAGAGCAAACCAGAAAAGTCGACAGATATCTGTTTTCTTGTTGTGCTCTGTGTATCCTTTCAGAAATTGCTCATGTGAATTCCTGAGCACTTTGTTACTGGGAAGTCTAAGCTTAAAACAGGTTACAAGTCATGCCATAATTGGGCTTGAGGAGGCTCTTACGTAGTGCAGTAGTGTCTGCCTGGCTTATGTACTTTGTGTGAGTCCTTACCTCCTTCCTGGTTTTGTCCCATTTGCATTACAACATTAATAAAGACCTTTCTAAATTATAAAATTGTGGCATAATACTAGCTGCCAGCTCCCATTTTCTTTAATGTAAGTAAGTAGTATTTTGGACAATATGGCATTGTGTCTGCCACCCGCTCTGCTCCTAAGGAACTATTCCAGACCATATGTCTGTAGTTTGGTAACATATTCTGTTTGACAAAAGGAGCTAATTTAGCCTCCATTCAAAATCAGAAATGGTGACTCAGAGTAACTTCAACGGACTATAGACACTCACACTGAAACTATTTCTCCTTTTTTTACCAATAGCATAGGAAAAAGAGTTAGATGCCTTTTACTATGCTCCAGGGATTAATACCCCATAATTCTGGACAGTGAAGTAATTAAAACCCATTTAGTGACCTAGCGCTTTTAGAGACCTAGAGCTTTTAGCATTGGAAGTCATGGGCAATGAGTTCCAGTTTCTTAAATATGCATTGATATACTTAGAACAGCTATTCTCTAGTGAGTGATGGCACCTTTATAACAGTAATCCAGAGACAGCCCAATCAATTCAGATTACCAAAGAAGAACAGCTGCAACTTTATTATAATCCTTAAGTTAATACTGGTTTCTTTAATAAAATAGAAGCCAGCCAGACAACCACATACAAACCATAAAATCTGGCTACCACTGGCAATGTAAAGTGACCACCTTTGCCTGGTGGAGACTGCTCAGATAAAAGCTCAGTACCTGTTTAAAACCATATTGCTTATGCTAAGAGAAGTGCAAAGAATGCATATAGCTTAAATGAAACCCAGTTTGGTTTAGATTTTGTTGCTGGTTTAGACCATATCCATGATCTCCTAACAGCTATTTTTTTGTGGAGACAGAGGGTTGTTTAATTGGAGGTTTTGCAGGTGTTTTTTGTTTTTTTTTTGTTGTTTGTTTTTTTTTTAATTTGAATGAATTTTCTTACTCGAGATACGCACTGTGATGAGAAATAGGTCAGTCTAAATCTGGAAAACAGGTGGATAAATGCACCACGTATTGGCCTCTACTTTATATCAGTCTAAATAGTCTTAATATACCCATCAATAAGAGGGGAAAGAGAGGAAACTGATAACATGTTGCAGTACTACGAAATGGAGAAGCCCACTTCCATGGAAGATTTATGTGGGACAGTATGCCAGCCTTTAACAGCATATGTCAAGTTTGTATGGGTTGTTGACAGGATAAGTTGTATTTTGCTGAAGAGAAGCTCAGCTCTCAATGACTTGGCCATCCCTGATGCAGAGAAAACTGTCAGTGAAGCAGATAATTTTTTCCTACTGGCATTTGTAGGTGTTCCATCCCTGACCTCTTCACCCCACGTACAGGTCTTTCAGAGAAATACAGGGTGAATGGCAAATGCTTGGTGTTTTGAAAATATTTAATCCTTTTCCTTTTGTTCCTTAAGGAAAGGACTGCACTGAAACAGTATGAAACAACTACTAAAGGTACTTTCCCTTGATGAAAGACAAAGGCAAGACAAACGCATAACAGCAATGTTGAAAGACGAGCAAAGGTAAACAGATAAAAGCAGCACAACATAAGCTCTTAGATGAGTTCTGTTCTGACCTCTGCTGCTGTTTGTTCAATACCTGGTAGAATCCAAACCTACAGAAGATACAGTATGTAAAGGAGAATTTCCTTTTTCACAAATGGTGGAGGTTATACCGTCATAGACAGAAGAACTGTCTTTCAAAGAACTAGCAATCATAGAATCCTAGACTGGTTTGGGTTGGAAGAGACCTTAAAGCTCATTCAGTTCCCACCTCTCTGCCACAGGCAGGGACATTTTCCGCTAGACCAGGTTGCGCAAAGTCCCATCCAACCTGGCCTTGAACACTGCTAGGGATGGGGCAGCCACAGCTTCTCTGGGCAAACTGTGCCAGTGCCTCAGCACCCTCACAGGGAAGATTATTTTCTCTAATATCTCATTTAAATTTGTCATCTTCCAGTTTAAAGCCACTCCCCTTTGTACTATTGCTACATGCCTGTGTAAATAGTCCCTCTGCAGATTTCTTGTCAGCCTCTTTTAGGTACTGAAGACTGCTCTAAGGTCTCCCCAGAGCCTTCTCTTCTCCAAGCTGAACAATCCCAGCAGGCTTGGGTACAAGTCCTCCTCCTTATCTAATCCTACCTGGAAAGACAGGAAGG